TTTAAGATGTCTACATTTCATTTTCCATCAAACCTTTGTCCTGCTGAAGACCAGTCACCCTTTCTGCTGGTTCATGGACCTGCCTCATCTCACTTAGAAAGGAAAAATGACTCCCTCCTCACACGTGTAAATTCATAGTCATCTTTAAGGGCCTGGATAGAGACACGAGGTCCGTATTATAGTTAGTCATGTCTGCTTTGGCCTGTCTGTATATTCTCAGACCTTTGCATACATGAACCAGCTGTGGAGGACAGCCCCTCCTCACTTTTTCCATTCTCACTATTCTTTCTTCCTATTCTCCACAACCTATTTGTCCATGACCTCCACTTGTCCTGCTGCTGTTTCCATCTCAAAACCCCAAATCCCACCCCTTTAGACTCTTTGCATATCTTCTCTTCATCTTTTTTTCATACCTTCCATGGGGCTTTCACCTCTCAACAGTCCCTGTATTTTTTCTACAAAAAGTTTGTAAAAGAAACTTTTTTTTTCTTTGCTGAAAAAGACAGATGACGGTGGTTGGGATCTGTGCCTTTCCACCACAGGTCAGCCTGTTTGGAAAGAGTTATGCTGGGGAAATGAGTGAAATAAATGTAGATGTGTGTGTAAAAAGTTACTGTGAACAATCTTTGGTGCATATTAAGATTGATGGTTTGAAGTCTTAAACGTGCATATATGATGCAAAACCATATTTCGGAACAAGAGGGTCTTTACTTTTGTCATTACAGGGGTTTGGTTTCAAGAAAATCTAATTAATGCTTTATGAATCTATGAAAAAATGAATTTGCATTTCTGATTATAATTGGTCATTCTGAGTTTTTCATGCAGGCTGAACATGAAAACAGACTCCTACACCTATCTCCTGCATTAGCTTCTGAGAGAAACTAGACAGTTAAACGCTAGCATTTGAAAATCCTTATAGATCTATGTCACACTGTCGCTTACACTCATGGACTCACCCATCTTGACTCATGATGAAGATGGCTATTGTTGGTTTAGCGACCAGGAATAAGCAGAGAACGTCTCGGCTAGCAGAAGCAAGCTGTTAGCATTAGCAGAACTCCTCCAGGCATGTTATTTGTGGAGTTAAAACATCAGTCACTTTGCTGTTAGCCAATCAGAGGCAAGATGTCAAAATATCAGGAGAAAAGACTCCAAAACCTGTCGTCTGAAGCTCAACTCTGATCTGGCTCATTCCGTTTCTGTGCGAGCAGCAGAGGACGAGGTCGCCCTCTGCTGCTGGCATCCATATTCCATAAATGGAAGTGACGCCACGAACAGATGGCGGCTCTGACGAAGGCGGAAGTTTCGGCCGAAACATGTCAGCCAAAGGTAAAAAACCCCCATCAAATTACTACACTGTTGAAAAAGAAAAAGATAATGAACCAAAACACAGAAGGAACATTCAGTAGACATATGAATTAGTTGTTGTGGCTTTTGGAGTGTTTTTTTTTTCTTTTAGACAGCTGTAGCTTGTTGGAAGAAAAAAAGGGATTGTGTAATAGGGAGCCAAAGTCCTAACCCTAACTCCTGTCGGCTCATTCCGGTCGGCTCATGGCAAGTGAATGATGCTAAAATATCTATTTTCTAATCTACTTTGTCTTATGCTCTGAATCACACGTGTGTTGTACTTTAGTTTAAATGTAAAGTAATGATATATGTTCTGACCATGCCCGTCTCATACTTTGAGATTTATCAGCTTATAAAAATTCGTAATAACTAGGACTACAAATCAGACGTCATAATGATGACATCGTCACAGAATCTCCTCTGCCCTAGTTGCTACTTACCTCATGGCAAGATTCATGGTGGTTCTGTCATCCTGAAGGAAGGATTCAAAGTTTGCTAAACTCACAGCCATTTTTCCTCTGCTCTTCTCCATGTCTGGTTAGGTGACGTCACTTTGGTGATGCACTTTTGTAGTCCTGGACATATTTTCATACAAATCTAAAATTGCTTGGCTCCTGTTCAAAAATAAGTGCTTACTTGGCATCAGAATGTGTCTGTGAAATCCATGGCACAAAACAAACGGGATTAGAAAATAGCTTTTAGAGCCCCATTGACATCCATTCATTTTTTTGTTCTTCGGAGGATCCATGGTCTGGAAGTAGATGGGAGTGACTTCGGACCCCAACACTAACTTTTGTAGAAAAGACAAGCTTGCTCAAAGCAGTTGTGGGGTAAACATTAGACAAACTCCCAAAAAGGTCTAACATAAAATGCACTTTTGCCAATTTTTTTGTTACAACATAGAAGACAATCCAAAAATATTATATAATATATATAATATGGTCCAGCAGACATTTAAATGCATTTTTTTTTATTTTTTACATATGAGTGAGAAGAAAATAAAACTTATTAGGCTGAAATCACAAGTGCTGATGTGCAGCAGCTGTTTTCCAAATGGACTTCATTTTTGAAGATTTCAACTGACAAGTATCTTCAGCCTGATGTCCTCAACTCAACAGTGAAACGCTGGAATTCCCAAACTGGACTCTTTGCTTTTATCCCCACACACCACTTCACGGAACCTTCGATCCACCTCTGAAAACCTCCTGGCTGTTCCTCGAACCAGACTAAAAACCAAAGGGGACAGGACCTTTCAGACTATTGCCCCCAGACTTTGGAACAGTCTGCCTTCAAAACTCTGCCTCTCCAAAACTGTAGAGGTTTTCAAAAAAACATTTAAAACTCACCTTTTCATCCAGGCGTTCCCCCACTAAATATTCTGAAAGATGGCTTTGTTTTTGTTTATACGTTTACTTTGTTTTTCTCCTGATTTTGTTAACTATTTTGTCACTGCTATTGTTTTTATGATCTGTTTTTATCAGTTAGAGGTATTTGCCCTGATTTTACTCATGTTGTACAGCGCTTTGTGATTCATATCTGCGAAAGGCGCTTTATACATAAACTTTTACTTAATACTTACTTACTTAGTCACACTTTCCGTTCATTTGGTTGGACAATAAATTCCATGTTTCTGTCTTACTTAAATGTCGGATCAGACAGGCCACTTCAGGCTGAACTTTAACATTTTTCAATAGGCTGTTTGTGTGGTAACCATTGCGACCAAACAAACAGACAACAGGAAGGGTTTCTGTTTCTAAATGATGGAATCAACGGTAGGGAGGGAGCGTTTGTCCTACGCAGCTCTGTAACTGTTGCTCATTCACCAGACACTCGGCGCCTCATAAGAGCGTCCTTGATAGCAACACCTCCGTGGTCCATATCTGAAGCATTGCCTCAGCCTAGGCAGTGTCATGCCAGCTGCAGACCAATGACCTCAACTCTCCAGACAATGATTTACCCCCCTGTGGGGTAAACAGATGCGTTCATACACTCCATTATAACCGTTTCCTTGATACAGGATGTTGATGAAAAGACCGGAGAATGATGTGCATGCATATTATGGCTGTTCTTCACACGCCGTCCTTGTGTTACCCTTTAGGAAGTCAAATGCTTTCCTACTCCAAAGTCAACTCTGTGGCAACTAAAATGAATAAAGTAAAGAATTCCCCTTAAATCTTCCTTTGACATTTACATGTAACTGACAGCAGCAAAACCCTTCCAAGTGAGCTGTACGTCAATTACGATGTTTAATCTGGTGCAAGTTTTTGGTTTCAATAAGGAGTCCAGCTTTATGGTGTTAAAGGAAGACATGCATTATGTGAGCACTTGCTCATGTGTGCACCGTAGGCTCATTTAGCAGAGCTATAAGTAATGTTTATATTAGTGCTGCCATTTATTAAGTAGTGTGCTTTATTAAAAGTTTATGCAACTGGAGTCAATTACTTGGAATCCAAACAGAAGTGGAAAAGTCTTATATCAGTAGTTCAGTTATCTCAGCTTTTGAAAGCAGCCAGGGCCCCAGAATATAGCAGCTTGCTCAAAGGAGTTTTCCTCTTATGATATCTTTATCATAGCGTCTCTGAGAGGTTTAGGAAAAGTAGCTTTATCCTGGTTCCAAATGCAAAACTTGCCAAAAGTAAAAGTCAGCGTGCACTTTGAAGATTTACGGACATGTAAAAGTGCTAATTCTGCTTGTGGTCTTACCATACAAGGTCCCTGTCCACCTAGAACCCATTCACACATTAGCAGCCCCCTTACAGCAACACAACTTAAAGATCAAGTTCATTCATATTTTTATTACATTTGTAGTGGTCTCTAGTAGGAATGAATGCCTTATAAGTTGTACTCTGGGAGAAAAAAACTCAGATGCTCCTGTTTAAGGAAGTAGAAGTCAGCCGCTGGGGAAAGTGGCAGAGGACGACAGGATTTGGAGTCTTATTTCCTGATATTCAGACATCCTGCCTCTGGCTAGCAGCAATGCAAGTATACTACTGATTGTTTGCTTTGCAACTTCGATGGTTTATCTCCACAAATAACACAAATCTGGAGGAGTTCTGCTGTGTGTTGGAGTCACTAATGCTAACGGTTAGCTTCTACTAGCCGAGATGTTTTCTGCCATTTCCTGGACTCTACACCGAAAATAGCCTTCGCTGTCATGAGTCAAGATGGGTGAGTCCATGAACATTAGTGTTAATGACAGCATGACGGGGATCTGGCAGGCTTTTCAGTTCATCTATTTTCTATCAAAAGCTAATGCAGGAATGCATAAAAGGGGGAGAAACTGATTTGAGTCATTGAGAGATCATCAAAGTCTACCTACTCAGTATTCAATAGGTGGTCACAAAGTCACAGCTGTAAATGATTTGGTTTTTCTCATTGCTTGAAACAGTGAAATTATCATGTTTTTCCCAACTTACAGTACTTCTAAAAGCAATAAAATAAGTTTCTATTTTCACTTTTGCTTTGTTTCTTCATAGACATTCACCCTCAGTCAAAATCACACTTAATACTGAAGGCGTTCAGTGGAAAAACAGTCAGCACAAAATAAATCTGTCCTTCTTAGCAGAAACTAGAAGATGGTTTCGTGCTTGGGTGTTGGGTGATATTAATCATTTCAACTCTTTCTCTCTTCTCTCATGGGTATTGTCTTACAGACCAGCACCCGGGGAGCGAGTGTGGTCGCCAACACTTAGTGAGGATGGCAAGACAAGTCCTTACATGGAGCCTGACTCACAGGTAACTACTGTGTACTTTAGTTCTGCTAACATTATAGATGTTTCAGTTTGAAATTTACATGAAATTCATATGCTGTCAAGTCTCTGCAATATTGAATTCACGTGTGGAGTTTCACCTTTATAAATATGGTCAGACTTTGGTAAGAAACTACTCTTAACATTACCCACCTGCCAGCAGTGAATGGAAAGAATTTGTTGTGGCTCTAGTGCAGCATTTTTATAGACTCCTTGTCTCTGAGTGACTAGAATTAGCAATAAATTTTGGTTTATGGTACATAAGTCGACGATAACAGCCAGTGAAAATACAGTTGTCCCAAATGCCAAACATAACATCTAGAAGATATTACAGCTTTAAAAATGTAGAAACTCTAAATCAGTGTACAGGAGATACTAATTATTCCCTTTTGTAGCCTTTCATGTCAGCGACAAGAGAATAAGTCTCTTCTGAGCTCAGAACTTTGACCCTTGGTAGCTGATATGCTCAAGTATTTCCCATTTGTTTATACTGTAAACAGAAACCATGGAAACAGGCACAAAAACTCAATCTGCAAGTTGCATGTACACTCTCATAAATCTGATTATGAATGAGAGAATGCATCCCACTGTTCAATGAAATGGTGTTGAAATAGTGTCTTGATTGTTCTCCAAACATATAATCTGCCAAAAGGATATTCAAGGCATGATGAACTCTAGTAGATGATCTTTTCCAAGTTTTCCCAGTTCTGGCAGGCCAGAGTGCTTCTGAGCGCATGGAGAATAAAAAGACGTGTGTTGTGTGTTCACACTCACATTTGCTGGGAGTATGGAGACTGTAGGATGAAATCAAACAAAGAGCATGCTTTGTCTTGTTTGACATGTTCATTTGTTAAAAGAAGTTGGATTGAAAAGGTGGATTCAGTGGTTGAAACATTTTTAACTCCGTATTTCCTTTGAAGTGCAAAGAAAGCAGAGATGTAGTTAAATCGGTCTGCACATGTCAAAGAAAGCCTAATGTCTTACAAGGAAGTTGTGTGATGATCTAAACCTGAAAAGGCAAAAAGAAGAGGTACAAGGAATTTCCTCTTAAACAGGCAAGGGCGTACGTTGAGAAACAAAGATTTATTCATTACTTGACAGTTTCAGATTCTTCCTTAAAGCCTTCTTCAAGGCTACCATCTGTTGGGGCAATGACGATTTGTACAGTGAGGCAAAAAAGTATTTAGTCAGCCACCGATTGTGCAAGTTCTCCTACTTAAAATGATGACAGAGGTCAGTAATTTTCATCATAGGTACACTTAAACTGTGAGAGACAGATTGTGAAAAAAAAATCCATGAATTCACATGGCAGGATTTTTAAAGAATTTATTTGTAAATCGGGGTGGAAAATAAGTATTTGGTCAATAACAAATTCAACTCAAGACTTTGTAACATAACCCTTGTTGGCAATAACAGAGGTCAAACGATTATTATAGGTCTTTACCAGGTTTGCACACACAGTGGCTGGTATTTTGGCCTATTCCTCCATGCAGATCTTCTCGAGAGCAGTGATGTTTTGGGGCTGTCGCCGAGCAACATGGACTTTCAACTCCCTCCACAGATTTTCTATGGGGTTGAGGTCTGGAGACTGGCTAGGCCACTCCAGGACTTTCAAATGCTTCTTACGGAGCCACTCCTTTGTTGCCGGGGCGGTGTCTTTGGGATCATTGTCGTGTTGGAAGACCCAGCCATGTTTCATCTTCAAAGCTCTCACTGATGGAAGGAGGTTTTGGCTCAGAATCTCACGATACATGGCCCCATTCATTCTGTCCTTAACACGGATCAGTTGTCCTGTCCCCTTAGCAGAAAAACAGCCCCAAAGCGTGATGTTCCCACCCCCATGCTTCACAGTAGGTATGGTGTTCTTGGGATGCAACTCAGTATTCTTCTTCCTCCAAACACGACGAGTTGAGTTTATACCAAAAGTTCTACTTTGGTTTCATCTGACCACATGACATTCTCCCAATCCTCTGCTGTATCATCCATGTGCTCTCTGGCAAACTTCAGACGGGCCTGGACATGTACTGGCTTCAGCAGCGGAACACGTCTGGCACTGCAGGATTTGATTCCCTGCCGTTGTAGTGTGTTACTGATAGTGACCTTTGTTACTGTGGTCCCAGCTCTCTGCAGGTCATTCACCAGGTCCCCCCGTGTGGTTCTGGGATTCTTGCTCACCGTTCTCATGATCATTTTGACCCCACGGGATGAGATCTTGCGTGGAGCCCCAGATCGAGGGAGATTATCAGTGGTCTTGTATGTCTTCCATTTTCTGATAATTGCTCCCACAGTTGATTTTTTCACACCAAGCTGCTTGCCTATTGTAGATTCACTCTTCCCAGTCTGGTGCAGGTTTACAATTCTTTTCCTGGTGTCCTTCGAAAGCTCTTTGGTCTTGGCCATAGTGGAGTTTGAAGTCTGACTGTTTGAGGCTGTGGACAGGTGTCTTTTATACAGATAATGTGTTTAAACAGGTGTCATTAATACAGGTAACGAGTGGAGGACAGAAAAGCTCCTTAAAGAAGACGTTACAGGTCCGTGAGAGCCAGAGATTTTCCTTGTTTGAAGTGACCAAATACTTATTTTCCACCCTGATTTACAAATAAATTATTTAAAAATCCTGCCATGTGAATTCATGGATTTTTTTTCACATTCTGTCTCTCACAGTTGAAGTGTACCTATGATGAAAATTACTGACCTCTGTCATCATTTTAAGTGGGAGAACTTGCACAATCGGTGGCTGACTAAATACTTATAGCGACAAATAGCGTGTACAGTTCGTGCTGCAGCGCGCTCTTCCGATTAAAGCTTCTAACGACTGTCAACACCTCGATGCTAAGTCAAGCTAACGGGATGGCTACGGGGATCAATCGGCAACCGGGGGAAGCTGAGCTTCCGGGAGAAAATCTCCAGTTACACAAGAAAGTACACAGTGGTCACGAATCCACTCAGAAAAGACATAAAATACAGTACAGTACATGCATATACCTTATAAATGACAGCAGGAACAAAACCTGTGCTATTGAAACAGTCCAATATGGCAGCTAGAGCTAGTGATGAGTCAGCTTTAGGTGAAAGAGTTGAAGATCGTCTCGTTTCTCACTAAGAACATCAAATTTTGATTAATTTTTAGTATTTAATTAAAAATGATCTTAGAATCAATACGAAGTGTCACAGTGTACAAATAACTGGCAATGGCTCACCAAATATGTAGAGAAGATGTTCTCACATTTAATTAGAAACCATAGAATGTGAAATATCATAAAATATGAAATATCACCTTAATGGATCTTTGAGTTAATTCAATCAGAAAATCAGATCGTTTTATTGCAGGGATTGAGCAACACTTTGTATCAACTTCAAGGAAGAGAGAGAGTCAGGTTTAAAAAGTTAAAAGATTTATTTCTAAACAATTTGAACAAGACTAACTTTAAACACTATGTGTATGATGTAACTAAGGTGGAGTAAGACTGAGGATGGTGTGTCTGTGAAATATGTTCAGAACCAGCAAATCCGGAGAGACTATTAGTTCTGAGTGGGAGTGAATAAGTGTTTCGCTCTAAGCTTTGGTTTGGAGATTATAGCACACATTGAGACGCCATCTGTCAGTTTACTTACCCCAACGGAAGTCCCCGTTTAGATCCGGAATGTCAGGGGTCCAGCTTGGACCCTCTTGGAACCGACGCCTGTAGATATGCAGTGGTTGCCGACCCTTCCAGTCTTGAGTTACTCCCAGGTCATCAGCGAGACCCTGAAGGGGTCGTGATGGTGCAGCTTTTATTTTGAAGGAACCGTTGCAGCAGGTGGAACATGCAACAGATTTAATCCAGCTTGTTGTTAGGTTCTTTCGGCTTTAAGAGGAAAGTTACGGATTGGCCACTCCGATAACTTCTCTAAAACGCTTGGAACTCAAGTTAAGATGAGGTGGGGCATAGTTTTATAATATGGATGTTTTGATTTACTGTGAAATCAGAATTTGACAGGAAAAAAAGGGGATTTAACAAACACCAACAAAACCACGCCTCGTGTCAGATCTGGAAGGTTCGGATTGGATCAGAAAAAGAAATGTGTCATGTGACTTTAGCATTACGTGTGATCAGTCTAGGGTCTAGTTTAAAGTTCTATTACTTATTAAAATACTATCATAGGATTATAATATCAAGTAATTAATGTTCTCATTTCACAGATTGATTGAACATTGAGCTTCACATGATTATTTGGACTAACAAAGTTATTTGATTATTATTTAAAGAGAAAGAGTTCTTCGTCTTCTTTCTTCTTTCTTGTGCTGTCCGAGGAAGTAACAGTTTAGATAAGAGAACAGGGCATGAGTGGCCTCTGCCCATAACTTGGAGGCTTGTGTCAGAAACGTATGGTTTTGCTTGGGCAGAGCAAATAGAGCAGGGCCTTTAGGTCAGAAATGGATCATTCATCACGCCACAGCACCTTCTTCTACAACCCCCCAAGGAGCTTTACAACACAGCCATTCACCCACGCACACACACTCATGGTGGTGAGCTACAAAGTATCCACAACTGCCCAGTGGTACACTGACGCAGCGAGGCTGCAGAACACCAGTCCCTCTAACCACCACCAGCAGGCAAGGTGGGTTAAGTGTCTTGCTCAAGGACACAATGACTGTGATAGACTGAGCTGGGCTCACACCTGCAGCCTTCGGATTACGGGGCAGACATTTAAAGCTGCAATGGCAAATTTGGAAAACAAACGAGCTCCAATTTATTACATCCCAGGTTGTTTAGGTAACCTGGAGTAGACTCTGTCGCCGATTATACATAATAGACAGAATACCTACAGTCACATCTGTTGTTTTCTGCCTCCTTTTTACTGGCTAGCTATTCAGACCATTCTAAGCCACTTTCAAGGACATAAATATCTCAATAGAGAGCTATTTTTTCTATTAAAAATGTCACAAAAGCAATACTCCCAACATTATTCAGTTCTTGTTTTTAACACTATTTCTTTTCGAAT